CAAGACATCTGAAAACGCAATCTGGTCTAATACAGAAAGCCATAGAACTGAAGAAAGAATTACAAATCGATGACAAACCAAAGAGCCTCTCTCTCCCCATGAACCCATTGGCAGACACTGATGTAGTGTGTTGCACCCAACTGCTTGACTCCTTCGGGAAATCAAACACCCCTCCAGAGCAAATGCGCTCAGTGGCCCTTGAGACAATCCATGTCAACTATCCTGCAGATCAATGGCTCCAAGTCTTCACTGATGGCATACATAGAAAACCAAGCAAACATTGGTGCAGGTGTCTATTCTGAACTCTTCTCTTTCTACGCAGCAGCGGACACAATAGATCCGCTTTTTAAGGGGAAATAGAAGCCATTAGGATAGCACTAAGCCAATTATGTTGCCTGGATACGAAATTCACCAAAGCAGTAATACCTTCGGACTCACAGTCAGCAATAAATTTAATTGGAAACGGAGAGCCGCCCACAACGGCCGAGATATACCAATGTAAAAAACAAGAGTAGTTCTTCAATGGATCTCTGGGCAGTGTGACATTAAAGGCAAAAAGCACGCTGACGCACCTGAGAAGTGTTCTATACTTTTGCAAGGCATAAATCGGCCGATGTCTTTTCATGCAATGATGACCTTAATTAGGTGCAGCGAACTTAAAGCTCGAACAAAGGAGAAACAGTAACACCCTCCGACATAGTCGACTGGCTGAGAATCGAAGCACGTTCACAGAAAAGGAGTATATGCTCAGCCGACATGCTCACCATGCAACCCACAGGAGAACATGGAGAAGACTCACCTGACCCGGTGCCCAGCCTTACAAACAACGAAAGAAACTAAAAGATACTAAGTATCAAGTAATCAATCAATGAACCACTGTTAACCGTCCTAAAGCCTGAATATACGCTCCTCCTTCCACCCATATGTGACCCGATGTCTACTAAAGTACTAAAGATAAATATCATTAAGCCCGCCATTTGAAATAAAAATATTCCCCACCATTTGCGACCCCATCTAAACGAATTTTACCAGATATATCTAAACACTTTCAGAAATAATAAGAGTCAAAAAAGCTGATCTTGGTCAATATGGCTAACGCGTTGCGAATGTGAAAATAATAGCTAGGTCTATAGCACAAAGGATAGCACTCAATATAGAGACAACAGTAGATCGTATTTCCAAAAAATTACATTTTGTCGCAAAAAGTCGGCTATTAAAGGGGATGATGAAAACCGCGACACATTGATTCGCCTACAATTCACCACAATCTTCGATTTTGACTTCCATATCCGTTGCGCCAGATTTAGATCCGACGTTCTCCATTGCTTTAACAACGTCCTGTCCCTCTACAACCTCACCGAAGACAACGTGCTTGCCATCAAGCCAAGAGGTCTTGGCAACAGTAATAAAGAACTGTGACCCATTAGTATTGGGACCAGCATTGGCCATTGATAGCAAATATGGCTTATCGTGCTTATGATTGAAATTTTCATCTTCAAACTTTTTGCCATAGATACTCTTGCCACCAGTGCCATTGTGATTTGTGAAATCACCACCTTGGCACATGAAGTCTGGAATTATGCGATGAAAAGTGGAGCCTTTATATCCGAAGCCATTTTTATGAGTGCAAAGTTCAAGGAAGTTTCGGGCAGTTTTGGGAACATCAGAGTAAAGCTAAAATTTTGGATATTTTATAAAAGAAAGCATTCCTACTTCAAAAACGATACGCCCCTTACTCTGACCACCGATCGAAATATCAAAGAAACACTTCGACATCGCAATAGCCCTTCTAATGGACGCCATCGCATGCAATATGGAAAAAATAAACAAGTTTGAAATACTTCATTATCTTACCTAAATATTAAAAACGAAATTGTTTATTTCAACATACTAAACAATCCATTTTTCAATGGTTTAAATGGAATTTTTGCATCAGCGTACATTCCAATTATTTACAATTATATTGAATCTTTTGAATTATAAAACATTTCTTTACACTCTTCTGCTAGCACCGTATATTTGAGATAATCGACAGCATTGAACAAATGCACAAATATTTTTGAAGAATCTCGAGTGATACCATTTAGATCCTTGTTTATATATGATTTCAGCTCGTATATGTTTATTTATATGAAATTAACCTATTCAAAAATAGATTAATATCTTTTGGTAGCTATTAATTCATATAATTAATCTCATTTGTTTTTACTTCATACCACAGACAAAGTGTTTAATATATATTAGTGGCATGAGATTTTAATTTTCCTTGCATTAAAATTTCGTTATCTTTTATATTTATGTGCTTAGTATTAACGTATACTTAAGTATTTCAAATATTGAAATTTAAATATATTAGAAAAAAGTATCGAAAGTTAAAATGCACAGTGCCTGGTCTCACGACGAATTCCCTTACAAACAGCGGTTTCACTTAGTTTGTTTTTGCTTTTTGGAAAGTTTTCTCTTGCATCCATCTTAACACTGAGAATTTAATATGCAGATAAATGATCAAGTCGTACGGGTATTTGTGCTTTTGTTTCGAAATTTGTTCATTGTGCCCAAAGCGTAACATGTTGAATTTTTCAATATTTATTTAAGCAAACGTTAGAAAGCAATCTCCTCAACAAAATCATGTTTTAGCTAACTGAACTGGATTAGACTTCATTTCGATAAACAGATTGTAAACTAACGTATTTATGTGTGAATGGCTTGAATGAAATCCAAGAAATTTTTAAGATAATTGAGGGGAGGAATATGCATAAGAACAGGTGATAGATATTATAAATCCACTCTTGGCAGAAAAGACGACCCGACCACCCCTATTACTTCTTAGGATAAATTAATTTCCCTTTTAAAATTGTAATTATAAATTTGCTATTCATTAGAATATTGTCTTTAATTCTGATACATAGAAAACAATAATGATTTTTCTAGACATTGACAATTTGAAACTACAAATAGTCACTGAATTAAATACTACAGATTAGGACTTGTGTTTAAAGAGATATAATTTATTTTGAATTGTAGTATAATAACTGAGAAGGGCTACCATGTTAGCGTGGCGTTTTTGTAATTTACTTTAAATGTTATTTTTTATTGTGTATTTATCATTACCGATCAATCAAAATAAGCGTCTTACGATCAATTATACATTTTTCTAAGGTTGAGCATTTGAAGACCACAACATAAATTATATAATTAATAAAAAGATTTGTAGATACAAAATGGTTTATACTAAATGTATAAAGTTTTAAAATTAAAATATTTATACATATTGTAACTTATTAGGCACGATTGACTTTTTTACAGGAACTTAATTCAAGTTTATTTCATGAATAATCTTTAATGGTAAATTATTGCCGGCATTCTCAGCGTTTTTCACTTACACAAATAGCAATGGAATAAAATTTTATACGTCATGTTAGTGTTTTCAAGTGAGCTTCACTTCTATAACTGAAGAATGGGGATCATTTTGTTGCTATTTAAAATTCATACCCACAAGTTTGAAATGGAAACTTGAGTTGATCAAGCTTCTTTGTAGTTGCGAGAAGATCTATTTCTACTGCTAATTTATATCACTTCGTAATATTTATTTCATTCAAAGAACAGGCGTTTTGATTGTTATCTTTGGCACTATAGCTGTCTTCGGGTTTCACAGAGAGGTGTAGGAACATCAAGGTTGCGAAAAGTCGAGATGGGGACAGAATAATGATTCAGTTATGCAATAGAGACAGACTGACACAAAGTCAGAGAAAAGGTAAGATGAGTACCGTGGAGTTGGTCGAATATGACATTCCGTGGGATCATGGTAGTTTAAAGTCAGAAATCAACTGCCGGTTAATTGACTTGAAGGTAAGTCTATCACACACCCCCAAATCTACAATATACGGACAGGATTCAGTCCCTTTATATCTAAGAAGAGGAAAAGAAGCCATGAAATCATTCTTATTAATTTTTATTAAGTTATTAACAGAATTATTTTAAGGGTCTGAAACTATTGACTATTGTTTGCAAAGCCAAATCAACCCTATGTTAATACGAAATAAGACAAAAATACCTTTTTATTAAGTTGAATTACAGCGCTTCTGTGACTCTTTATCTTACAAATTTAAAAATTATTCTTCTTAAGAACTTACTTATTTTAATACTTAATTATTGAAAATTGGCAGGAAAATTTACTTACTATGAATAAAGAAAAGCAAAAGTTAAATTAAATTTAAATAGAAAAAATGCATTTATAAGACAAAATGTTAAGCTTCACATAATGAAAAATGATGACCTTTATTTGTTTGCATCTATAATAACGTAATTTTTTCCCATTTCGTCGTTTTGCCGCACAGTTTGCCTGGTTCTTTTGCTAGGTTTCTTTCGAGATGAGCGCTGCCAAAGATGCCGGTGATCAAAATTTTGACTATATGTTTAAAATCCTTATTATTGGAAATTCATCAGTTGGAAAAACGTCATTTTTGGTTCGTTACGCCGAAGACAGCTTCACTTCGGCTTTTGTATCGACTGTTGGAATAGATTTCAAAGTTAAGACTGTTTTCCGTCAAGAAAAAAGAGTCAAACTGCAGATTTGGGTATGATTATTTTTCTTTTATGAAGTAATTTTAAGGATACTGCTGGTCAAGAAAGGTATCGCACTATTACAACTGCGTATTATCGCGGCGCACTTGGATTTATCCTTATGTATGATATCACTAATGAAGATTCTTTCAATGCTGTTAGAGACTGGTAACTATTTACATTTAGGAATTTTTTTTATCTTTTGAGTTCTTTTCTTTATTTTGTCTCAGAAGAGTTTCATATTTGTTTGATTTAATTTTTTCAATCTATTTTTGACGAAATTGTCAATATTTTTTTATTTTTTTAACTCATTGGTTTTATCTTTTCAATATCTAAGGGTGACACAAATTAAAACTTATTCCTGGGACAATGCCCAAGTTGTTCTCGTCGGCAATAAATCGGATCTCGGCGTTGAAAGACAAGTCACAACTGAAAGAGGACGTGCACTTGCTGACACTCTTGGTGTGCTTCAGTTGATTCATTACGTTAATACTTTTTTCATTAACACATGCATATTGCCGTTCAAATTTTAAAACTGAGTATCGTATAGAATAAGTTTATTCGCAAATATATTACTGCCTTAATCCTGTGGATTGATTTAAAGATATTGACTTTCTTAACTGTATCTTATTATTTCGTAGGCCTAAAATTTTTTGAAACTTCGGCAAAAGACAATGTCAATGTCAAGGCTGTTTTCGACCTTATGGTAGACATAATCTTGGAGAAAATGGCAGAATCTGCTGATCAGGATGGAGCGATGTCTGGACAAGGAGCATCTGGCGGTAAGTAATTAATCTTAATTTTTAACTGGTGTTTTTGTCAATTTTATTTTGTGGCTTTAATATTTTTATCTGAGGTTCCGTCATGTGAAATCCTGGTTTTAATTCTTGAACTATTCAACTCAAACCTTGAGCGTCCTCAACTGCTTTAAATATCAACAATTCTAACTATCTATAATACTAATTGAACCTGTCTGCCCCCTTACTAATAATCTTGCATCTAGTTTTTAAGTTTTGTTGAGAGTGTTTTCACTTTCAGCAAACCCTGCTATCCAACAAAGGGAGCTCCTCTTCTTAAGAGCATTTATAATTGAACGGCTCTATGTGAGACAATCATTTTGGAAGCCATCTGATGCTTCCTTCTTGCAATTATATTTCAATTTAACCCAAGACTTTTGGCTATTCTTACTTGATTACCCCTTCTGTTTCTAAACTATTCTTGGCCCGCTTGAAGCATACGTAGACATTATACAGCCAATTAAATTTAAAACTTGCTTAAACTAGATTTCTTAGGTATTTTGGGAATAATTTGAGATATAATATTTCGTTCTTTCTGGCTTGAGGTGGGTATACTATTCTATCTTCCCAATTGAAATCTTAGTAATAGGGTTTATCTATCTTGTTTACTTTTATATTACCTCTAATCAGCATTTGCCATTTGAAAGTCACCTTTGCGAATGCGTATTAATTGCACTTCTTGACTGTATTTCTGTTTTTAAGGGTGGGTAACTGTTGTGTATATTCACAATTTGCCTCTTGGAGCTGTATGTGCTAAATTACACAAAAGAATGACGTAATCACAGAGGGGGTGGTGACTAGAGCACTCAAGAAGCAATCAGAAATGCGGTGACTCGTTAGACGACTTACCTATGTTTAATCAGCTACCGATTGTGATTTAATTGCGAAGAATTTATCGATTTACTAATTAAAATTAACTTACTTTATGAAATGACCAGACTAATAGAAAATAGCAATTAGTTTTAACTAACTAAGTTAAATTTAGATTTAATTTTTGCCACAACGCTTTCTTCATAATTGTGAAATCTTAACCCAATGATTTTTTTTCAATCATTCACGTAATTATTTTCTATGACAAGGCTGAAGTTTTACATTTTTCCGTCCCTTGTGGCTTAAGTTGGTTAGAAATTGGAATTTCTTCTTCCTCTCCACGGCTATATGCTCCACTGTTCAAATTTCAACATATGTCCCTTTTTTCCTGGATGAATTCATGATCGCAGTGTTTTGGGCTCGTTGATCGTTTATTGATTTTAATTATCCAAGACACTAGGAGGGTTATAAGAGTTTGCATTTCTTTTTAAAAAATCATTTTGTACGTGTATAGAACGATTATTACTTCTAAGGATTGTTTGTAGAGTTTGGGGATTTATTTTGGATGAATTCCTCTCAACTAATAAAGAAGTAATTCTGATTTTTTTCTTATTTTCCAATCTTAATTTGAGAATATCGAGCTCAACGCAGACAAATTGGTAATTAATTTCAAGGTTTCTCAGTAGGCGATTTCGATAGACATTAATAAATCTCATTTTCCAGAGCATCTTTGGAGTTCTTTATTCCCAAATTTCAGTCCCAACATCTGCAACTGTCATTGGTTTCTTTGGGAGTTCAATTATCTTGAGGTTTTCCATTTCTCCAAATATTCCCATAAACCTAAAACAATCTACTTTCCCCATTATAAAATCATCAGTTTGATGTACTCATAAACGTCTGAATGTGCTTATTCTGTTCTTCATTTATTTACCTGTTTTAATTGTGTAAAGTTTAAAAAATATATATAAATTTTGTTTACACGGTGTCTACAATATGTGTGGATTATTATGTTGGAGTTAAGGCGTAGATCAATTCGTTGGAAATTAGAAAGCACTTTCTTAATTCAATCCCTTCAAAATTCTATAGGTAATGGTTAAAGTAAATGAAATTGTTGTATTAATAAATTAAATGCTGCGAATATAGTCAGTGTATCAAAAAATCTTGCGTTAATTTTTTTATTCGGGTTATGCTATATCCAATTAGATTGTAATTCATCGCGTCCTAATTCGTCTCCTTAATTTTGGAAGAAATTCTTAACTACCGCACTGACCCAGTTATTTAATTACACTAGTAGGTTTTGCCGTTTCAATTCATTTCCTCTTCTGAAGGCCAGAAAGAAGGATAATTTTATATAATTTTGACGGGGTTCACTAATTGACTATTTTACGATATTTAGCTCTTATGTAAAAGGAATAATTAATTCATTATAAATTTTATCCAATCACCGTTAGTAATTACTTTTCATTAATGGTAACTACTGAAATACTATCACCTTTATCCGCGGTTTGTAATCAATTTGAAAATAAATGGAGCTTTGTGCCTCCGTCTCATTCAGAGGTAACTGATCGGAATCAATTTGACCTTGCTATCGCATTAGTATTTACCAACCAATTACGGGTTTCAATATCTGCCAACTTACCACAAGGCGTGGTAGAAAAGTTGTGTTAAATCAAGTTTAATGGATTACCTGGGGCTAATATCTAAGAAATTATATAATCCTTCTCCTGTCATCCACTTATTACTGCAAAAATGTTACCTCTATACTAGGACACTCTGTATAAAATTTCGATCTAATGCAAAATTATGCTTATTTAAAGCTTTGGAAAGTACTTTAAACAATTTTTCAATGTGAAAGGAAATGAATTAATTGAATGAAGATAAGGAATAAAGCCTGGGTTCCGGAATGATCTTGATAATTTATAATCCTGGAGGTATCCGAATGTTCGTATTGCTTAAAAACATATATTCTTATGTTCCGAAATTCAGGACTTAACCTCTGTGCACATGTGTGAGTTCAGATTTGTAGCATTCAGAGCTTCTTGATATGTTGCTAATGCTTATTTTCCCTAATTGCCAAGAGCAATCGGTGAAGGTGTTCTAATTTTATTAGACCTCATCAAAAGTCTGCTCAAGGTGAACTCTAATAAAAATGTAGCGGTGAGAAAATGAGGGCTCAGGAAAGTTTGAAGTAAAGACAATTTCAGTTAGCATTGCGATTTACAGCGAAAGATATCGTCTTCTGATACGAATTTAATCGTGTCTGCAATGGAAGTATAATTGCATTTACGTATTCCATTGATTTAACCCGAGCCTACTTTGATTATTCTTCTTTTTTATTTTAAAATGAAACAAAATTTTCATATTTTAAAGTAACTCAAAACTTTATTTATTTTTAGTTATTTTTATGCGTGCTGTCATAAATATATATTTTTATTTCTAATTCCTCGTGTTCTGTTTGCGGCTTTTTTGACTCGAAATAAATGGAGGTTTCAAACAAGTTTTAATTTTTTCCAGAATACCCTTTTCCAGCAAGCTCTTTAAGGAACTTATTCATTGGTTGAGTCACTTCCATCCAGCGGCCAATAATTGCGTTGAAATCAATTAGTACAACCTACACTTCCACCAATAAGCTTGGAGCATAAACTCATGAAGGCGTTTAAATTACCGCCCCACTAAGTTGAGATAGCACATACGCACATGGACGTACTGATCACGCGCATATACGTACGCACTCAATCAATACGGAGGGAGGTTTAATCAACGCACGCTGAACGTACGCTAAGCCTTGAGCTAGCCAACTGGGGAGTAGTGTACATTTGGGTCGCTATTGCGTATTCCTTCCAAGTCATTCGTCGATCAATTATGATGTTGCCTGTGCAAACGCTTTCATCATTACGGCTGGTCTGCTTCCTCCGTTAGGAAGCATCCCCCTTTTAGCTGGGATATAGCAATAGGAACACTTCCTCATTTTGTTCAGAGCAGATCATATCTCTAACCCAGTAACTAAATCAATGGGACTGATAGTATGAAAAAAAGTTTATTCACACACTGCAGAAATTTGAACGAGTTCATTTCACCGCTGGTAAAGCGGTGCTGAGTAGAATCATACCGATTGGATTAAAGTACTCTGTTGAAGATTAATCAATTAGAGAATTACATTTATTTATTGTTTTCTTATAAGATTTCCCAATTGATCGCTTTAAGTATAAAATTCCTACCTTTATTCATGATTAAGTAAATTTCCTCGTATTTACTGATTTATAACAGCGGGTGCTTTAAAAATTGGTTACAGGGTGTATGTTCTCTTTCCCATTTTGAAATTGCTACTTATTACTTGTTTCACTTCAACTAAACTAAATGCGTATTAATTTTCCCTTGCTGTTGATAAACCAGCTTCTTTTTCCACTCAATTACTCCCCACTTACTTTCCATATTGTTCTATTTAATGCTTACCCACCCAAATATGCGGGAAATTTTCATAATCTATTTCATTTAGTGGTCGCTGGAACTCCATGTTCTTGAAATATTTTAATGAATTTTTACTAAACCATGTTTCTAGGTCATGTCGACGTATCCCACTGGATAGAATTATTTAGGGCGGGAATGCGAATCACTATGACCACCACCTAATAGCTTGATGCATTAAATTTCTCAAGAGTAACTTAACTCAACCGGGCTAATTTTCTGTTTGTCCACACTACATGGCAAATGTCTCAGCTTGGTGTTCTTGGAAGGCATTTGATGATCGAAGAAGCAATATCATTTCCGGCATTTATTTTCTTGAGTCAGACTTTTTACCAGTAGCTTCCATTCTTAACTTCCCTCTCCATAGGCACTACCACGCACTCGCGTCTGCATTGAAAAACAGAAATGATTCAATAATTTTTGGTCAACTAATATGATCATGTTATAGGCTGACCATAAGGCTGTCCAATATCCTTTCTTTCATAATAACGATGATGTTATGAAACCATGAGGTGTTTTTTATCAAACATTACTAAAAAATGGATTTCTCAAAATGCGGATCTTCTCATTGAGCAGTAAAATATTACATATAGAAAGAATCTAAACTATTAAAAACAGACTATCTAAGTCTTTGGATAGATGGAGGATTTGCCATCGCTTATTACAAAGCAGGATTATGATCAATATTCCTATATTCTAAGTAAGCAATCTAGTTAAT